GTGATTCCGTTAATGTAACATAATATAGTAACATATAAAATACATTTCATTAAATAAAATCTCTGTGTTCCCGTGTTTCTGCATGCTCAGGATTGGTAGGCCCGAATATATAAATCTGCATTATGTAAAAAGTTTATCACGGTTTTACAGCACCATATAACAGAGCAGGTGAAAAACTTGGGTCATTTGATACTCCTTTCTACAGTCTGGTTCCACAAAAGTAAGGAAATGATTGTGACCCTCAAATAGTAACATTAAAGGGATCCTACAGTGCCAGGAAAACAAACCTGTTTTCTGGAACTATAGGTTTAATAGTCCTCCCCCCGTATGTCCCCCTCCTCCTGTGGGGCTGAAGGGGTTAACTTACCTGAACCCAGCGCCAATGTCCCTCTGCGCTGGGTCAGGCTCTGCCCACGCTCCTCGTGCAGTTCCCCTATGGGGAAAATCTGACGCTGGAGGTCCATGAGGTCGTCCAGCATCAGATAACGGATCAAAAGTCCATTTAGATTCCAGAAGTGCCCCCAGTGGCTGTCCAAGTGTCACAGTACCCAGACCATTTCAATTAGCTGAAGTGGTCTGGATGCCTACAGTGTCTCTTTAGTATTGTGCAAAATATATTGCTAGCATGTGTATAGATCAAAAATCATTACTGTCTCAGTCTAACCCACTAGAGCTAAAGATACAAATATAACATATGTTCTATTTAACATGTTTATAAATGATCTTGAAGACAGCATTGAAAGTCATGTTTCAGTGTTTGCAGATGACACAAAACTTTGTAAAATAATACAATGTGAGCAAGATATTACTTTGCTGCAGAGGGATTTAGATAGACTGGGGACTCAAATGGCAGATGAAATTTAATGTTGAAAAAATGCAAAGTTATGCACTTTGGCGTAAAGAATACACAAGCAACGTATACCCTTAATGGAAGCGAATTAGGGATAACAACACACGAAAAGGACTTGGGAATTGTTATAGATAACAAACTATGCAACAATGTGCAATGTCAATCAGCAGTGGCCAAGGCCAGTAAGGTATTGTCATGCATGAAAAAGGGCATTCATTCTCGGGACAAGAATATAATTTTGCCTCTTTATAAATCACTGGTAAGACCCCATATTGAATATGCTGTGCAATTTTGGGCACCTGTTCTAAAGAAGGATATTATGGCACTAGAAAAAGTGCAGAGGCAGGCTACAAAATTAATAAAAGGAATGGAACATATCAGCTATGAAGAAAGGTTAACAAAATTAAAACCTATTTAGTTTAGAAAAACGTCGCCTGAGAGGGGATATGATAACATTATACAAATATATTCGGGACCAATACAAACCACTGTGTGGAAATCTATTCACAAACCAGACTTTACATAGAACACGAGGCCATGCATTTAGACTGGAAGAAAGAAGATTTCGTCTAAGGCAAAGGAAAGTTTTTTTTTACTGTAAGAACAATCAGGATGTGCAATTCTCTGCCTGAAGAAGTGGTTTTATCAGAGTCCATACAGATGTTCAAACAGGTACTAGATGCATACTTGCAAAAACAGAATATTCAAGGATATAATCTTTCAATGTAGGGTAATAACTGCTTGATCCAAGGATAAATCTGACTGCCATTCTGGGGTCAAGTAGGAATTTTTTTCCTAGCTTGCTGCAAAATTGTGCTTCAAACGGGGTTGTTTTGCTTTCTTTTGGATCAACAGCAAAAAACAAATGTGAGGAAGGCTGAACTTGATGGACGTAAGTCTCTTTTCAGCTATGTAACTATGTAACTATGTATGAAGTTTCATCCACTGCTCTCCCACCCTCAAATGATATGTAAGTTGGTGAGTCAGAGTGGTTGTGATTTTGAAAGTGGCATAATCATATCTTTTTAGCTACAGTATATGGTTTCACCAGCACAATGTATATATTAAATATATAGCCATCTGGGGGTGACATTGATATCCACACACATCTCTCAGCATTAAGAGGTATGGAATTGGAACTATGGGCAAGAGGACAACATGGGAGCAAGCCAGTGATGCAATTAGCATAATTCCTAATGCTTACCTGCAGGAAAGGAGATGTATCTGATAAGTAGCCCTAGAGGCTTGACAAGGAATAACTATAGCCAGAGCACTGCTGATGCATTCTTGTGTGTGTAGAAACACCCTGAAATTGCCTTATACAACTGCATACAAGATGGATGATGCACTGTTTATATCACAGTATTAGGATATAAGAGGAAAAAAAGGCCAAAAATCCATATGCCAAATCAGGACTGTCACACTGGATTCATGACTATTGGGAGGTATTCACACATTCTTTAGATGATAGGTTTGCTTTAATTACTATGAATTATTATTATATATAGTAATGCTCAGTACCAACACAAGCCATGTGCCGATCGCCTTCATTCCTGATGTGACATCAGTTATATTGTCTGTAACATTCCTATGGTTACAACATGAATGGCTATTACTTGTTACTCCCATGATTCCGTTACACTATTTAACAATGATTCCATCCAAGCTTATGTGGAATATCACGTTGTGCCGCCTCACTCCGTAACAATGATGGATATAAAGACATATATCCGTTAATCCAAGTCTGATTCAGTAAGATCTTTTGAAACCCACCCAGGCTTAATCCCAAAATTCTGCAATATTTAATCAAGTGATTTAATCACATTCATCGTGAAGCTGAATTCATTTTGAGGAATAAAAAAGGAGATGTAAAAGACACCAAACGAGGTAATCGTCTGATTGTATCCATTTTATGTGTGGGAGAATCGATGCCAAAAAGTGCCCAGCTGTTCCTGGGAAAACAGATAGAGTATAGGTTTCAGATCCCTTCCAGCAAGCAATGGAGAAAGAGCTTAGTGACTCTGCCAGAGGACACCTAAGGAAAGGCTGTGTAGTAAATAAAACCCAGCGGAATGCCTACTGCTAATCTGGCAATGCTTTATAGTGTGTATTTTCTCCCTGTGCTTTCATAGCTAGGGAGTTTCCCAGGACACGGGAGGCTGTGAATGGATGATAGCTGGATTGACCCCTATCCCAGCTGCAATGTAATTCCAGGCAGTGCAAATAACAATGCTTGTATAACCTAGTGCACAGTGGACCTTTCTTATTTGATATTGCAGCATTTATATTAAAGTCTGTTTGTTCTTTATTGACCCCGAAAAATAGAAAAGTTGTGAGACTTTATTTAGAGGAAAACCAAACAAAAGCAATTTTTTTTTAATTATATATATTATATATACATACACATATATATATATAAATACTAAAGGTCATGATATAAAATATTCCTTATAGGAACAATTCTAAATTGCATTGCTGTTAATAATTGATAGATTACAAAATGATTCTACAAACAGCAATAATTCTCCAGAATACCTCCGCTTCCAAAAAAAAATAAAAAATGTACAAAAAGAAATGACAATCCCAATGCCATCTATGTCTGCACTCCAGAAACACTGTGTTCATTATTTTTAACTTGTTTTTCTGGATTCAAACTGTTTTTTTTTTCCCTTATGAAAAACATACAAAAAAAATAAAATATTGCTACAAACAGTACCAGCTATTAGAGGGAATATCGTTCGACTGAAAGCATGACGGTAGCAGAGGGTAGCACCTTAGTGTGTCTATTTGTCAAAAGTTTTTTTGTGTACTGATTTTGTGTTTGGTGACTTTTGTTACAAGTTCAGCACCAACAAATTTCGAACAGCTTCTTAACAATAATCCATTGCTTAATTAATTGCTTTTCATATACAAAGTGTAACTGCCATAAATGTAAAAAATTGTAAGCATGCATTATAATTATAATATATATACACAACACATGTTTTTTTTACAGACTAGGTGTGGTATCAAAAGGAATTTCTAACTGTCCTGTAATAAAAATAGAAAGATTGCAGTTCTATAAACACATGGCAAAAATGTCAAAATTACCCAAACCTTCAATACAAAGTACTTTGACAGGGTTAATACTATGTGCAATTGCATAATGTTTTCTGGCTGGTTGTGGGTGTAACAGATGTTGAGCTCTAATGAGAGTTTCTGTAAACTATCATAAAACAGACTTTGTGAGAAAAATGTCCTCAGCTATGGAGCTCATGAATCAAAGAGGGTAAACATGTATTCACTAAACCCTGAAATTTAGGACCTCACTCTTCACAGCTGGCCTGTTCTCACCAAGAATGGTATATGGAGACATAGGTTTCCCAAAAGTCCAAATGCAGCACCCAACACCATATTGCGAGCATACATCTAAAATTACTATTGAGAAGGATAATGGGCATTGTAGTCATGTATCAGCTGGAAGTCCTGAACTAACAACTCAGAAAATAGCATTTTTCAAAGTGCATATGTTGATTTGCACAGCATTATACACTTATAGAGCACTTCACAATAGTAATAAACACAGCAATAGACTTCAGCTGTAAAACTAAACACTGTTTTGTGCCTTATTAAACACTGTTTACAATGAAAGAGTTCTACAAGAGAGACGAAAATTGGAAATATGCATAAACATTATTTATCAGCATTTTTACATAATATTCTCCCACAGGTGGCCATTAACTCCCACCAAAATAACTCTTGAATTTTTACATGAAATACATCAGGGACATTTACAGAAATATACATTACATTCTAAAATGTTGCATGGCTCCGGATTCGGTGCTTGTCTACAGAATTTAAAATTCTCAGCAAAGACCTATCTGACTTTACCAAGAATGTGTAGGATTTAACTAGAGATTCAGCTAGGATTTGGACATTTCACTAATCTTTAAAAACACATATTGTGCCAGGCGGTTATTAGGGATTAATAGTATGGATGACAGAGAATTAAATTGCTTGTTATTAATAATAAACAAATTATACATAATACAAAATAAAGAGATTATGAAACAAACAAATTTGACCTCAAGTCCTACAGAGTGCTGCTCATTCACTCAATTACATTTCTCTTGCTCACCAATTACATATCATTCTCATTTCTACACTTACACTCACAGGCAGTGGCTAACTACCATGGTCGCAGGGTCATAGCTGCAACAGGGCCCGTCACTCTAGGGGGCCAGGTCATCCTGTCGACCCCTGCAACCGTGGGCCTCCGGTATAACTTCAGGGCCCAGTATGCGTGGTTGCCGAGTAACCAGCAGGAGGAGAGCGCAGAGCACAGTGCTCCATCTCTTGCCGGTCACTGTATGTAGTGTGCCAGAGCGGTCCATGGTCTCACAGGAAGTGCTCACTGGTTTCTAGTTACTTACTAAATTTAAGTTACTTACTAAAGTTATTCACTAATTTAAAATTAATTCTTATTTTTTTTAACCAAAATATCCATACTAAAAGCATAGGCTGTTATTTCCCAAAATGTTAAATACACTTTGTTAAATTACACTTTGAATTTAACGTTGTTATACAGGTGGTCCTCGTTTTGCGACCTACCTGTTTTACGACGGCTCGCACTTATGACCAGCTCTCTCGCAGAGTGGTAAGTGCAAGCCGTCGTGGGAATTAGAGGGATTCCATGATCTGCAGCGTTCGTCTATGTTCGGGGACATTTCCCCGAACATAGCCAAACGCAACAAAGCAGGGAATCCCTCAAATCTATGCAAGAGGAAATTTGCCTGAACATAGATTAGAGGGATTCCCTGCTCTAGTGTGTTCGTCTATGTTCGGTGAGATTTCCCGGAACATAGACAAGCGCACCAGAACAGGGAATCCCTTAATTTCTCACTTACTGACCAATTCGTTCTACGACCGGGTCGTAGGAACAGAACCCAGGCAGTAAGTGAGGAGTACCTGTATTACAAAGAAGTGTGATATTTGCCTTTTGTATCTAATCATCTTCTGTTTATATATCAGGAAAGACAGTGGTATCAGAACTTCTTTTGTTATTTTGACCACAAAATATTGTGCTTATCCAGTAAAAGATTACTTCAATTAAGTTAGAGAATGAGCAATCAATCAGGCAAAAAAAGCTTTTTAAATGTATATGGAGGCAATTAGATGAGTTTCCATCTATAAGGTGAAACTTTGCTGACAGTGTCAGGCAACTGATTAAGCTGCAGCACATACTTGAAGATCAAAAGTTCAGAACTAAGATATTTTATACTGCCCTTTCCAATCACAATGTAATGCATAATATCGCAAGCATCTGATAAGCACTTCCGGTTAAGAAGCACATCAGTGGAACGCAGACACGCGTTACATAAAGAAGAAAGCAATTTGAATTAAGATATAGATCGCGTCCCTCTGACACGCATGACCGGATACCGGATATATAACGTGCGTTCCAATAGACGGAGTGGGAGTGCGCTTCACAGAATCTACTTCCGGTAACACAGATCTTTCAATCAACATAATATATAATAATATAATATAATATAATAGACGAAACTTCCAATCTAACACTATTCACAAACTGAGGAAGCCAGTTTATGGTGAAACGTGTTTTGGACTGAAATCCTATTTGTTTTTTATAGCTTATTGATCATTTGATCAGAGTTTGTTTATTTACTTTATTTTTACCAATACATTTACATATTTACCTATACCCACAAGTTTCCTGCCTTTCCCTACGGATGACTAACTGGGTTACAAGGATATGGAAGAGGGCTGTGGATCTCCCTAAATGATACAAAAGTGACATACACTAGAGCCAGGTGACTTATTGGCTCTTTCCTTGTGAGTTGAATATTTATCACCCACACTTTCTATTTAGTTCATACCATCTGCACTATTGTACCGTTTTGTATTTTTTTAGTTTTGTACATACTACCTATTTGAAAACTATATTACTCAGGTATATTAGAGGTCCACTTATATATTTTTTGTATATGCAATCACAATGTAAGCCTACAATATTCAACATCAATTTAAAAGTAATGTCAGAATTTGTTTATTACTACATTCTAAACTGTATACAGCCAAACCATTTAAATCATATGGTTGTAATCTTCTGATATGTAACACACTATACCAATTAACAATGTACCACTAAACTTTAAACAGAAATGTGTCTGTTTTTAGGAAGCCCTACAATTATTTGTAAAATTCTTGAACATGGTGATACATTTTTTTTTTTTTTTTTAAAACAAACCATTTGCATATATGCTTCAATATGCATTATGTAGGCTGATCTGATCATTAACAATCACCGGTTTGCATATTTAATCAATAAAATGTGAGTAACAGTTTTGCCACCTTTTTGTTATTTGCTCTGATTTGCCTGTAATATTGAATAAGAAATAAAACTTCAAATTGTGTTTTTTTTTTTTTTTTTAAAGGCTTGAAGGAACATTATAGCGTTAAGAATACAAATGTACATGCGCAGTGCTGGTCTCCTTGGGGAAGCTCCGCCAATCCAATGCTTTCCCATAGGAAAGCATTGTGCGGCCAGTGCACATGCAAATCAATATGCTATGCTGCAACAAACAGATGATCTCTCTGAGACAATCTGATTGAAAGAGTGGAGGTTTACAGCCAGTAGAGACAGGTTAACCGGCAATGAAAACATTGCTGTTCCACAAAACAGCAATGTTTTCAGTTGCAGGCTTAAAAGGGGGGACATGGTCCCCAGACCATTGCATCTCAATGAAGTGGTCTGGGAAACTATAGAGTCCTGTTAAGTCAATATATGTGGGAGGGGCTATAAAATATACCCTCTTGTCTAAAGCCCCTGGACGTTTGCCACCTAGCAATGCTCCTTTGTATTAGGCTGCCGTTTATGTAATATTAATACAGAGGACGATGCATGTCCAGAACTATTGCAGGGTTGAAGTTCATGTCAGATTAAACATGTTGCAGACACTACAATTTAGGAAGGAATCTGTTTGCTGTAGACCAGGGGTAGGCAGCCTTCGGCACTCTAGATGTTGTGGACTACTTTCCCCATAATGCACTAACACCCATAACGCTGGCAAAACATAATGGGAGGCGTAGTCCAAAACATCTGCAGTGCCAAAGGTTGCCTATACCTGCTGTAGACTATCAGAAGATCAAAGTAAATATTCTCTAATTATGAGACTGCATTAACCAAACCTGATCATTTAAAGGGAAACTCCAGTGCCAGGAAAACAATCTGTTTTCCTGGCACTGCAGGTCCCCTCTCCCTCCCACCCTCCAATCTACGGTTGCTGAAGGGGTGAAAACCCCTTCAGTAACTTACCAGAGGCAGCGACATTATACTTGCAGGGTTAAGAGTAGTGGGAGTTGGCACCCAGACCACTCCCATGGGCAGAAGTGGTTTGGGTGCCTGGAGTGTCCCTTTAATAGAGAAAAAACAGTACATGCCTCTATTTTATCAGATTCAGCAGATATCAAACAACCGGTTCTGTCAAACTCCCTGGAAAGCATAACAGTTGGTTGAAAAAAATGTAAAGGTAAATACACATGTTGAGTAGAAATGAAATAAACCACCATTCTGCTTAGTGAGTTAGAATTGAATACACAGTGTTTCAGATCAATATTTATTGGAATCATGTAGGCCAGATAATGTAAATGTAATGTATCAACATGAACATATGGATACTGAATATTCATTTGAAGTGATGTTAATTACATTTGGATTATTGTGTTATCAGTTACATTTGATGTATCGCCACGTAAACTTTGTTTGTAGTTTTGCAGATGCTATATTACCAGTAAGTATGGCGATCTTAGTTTGTTAGGATTGTAATTAAAATGTATCTGTCTTATTTTTGTTTGTTGTATTTATTTTTGTATGTCTGTTTATAGTATAGGTCAACTGTATGTGTCTATTTGTTTATTTTAGGGTTTTATTACTCCAAATGTACCGCTGGTTTGTGGTTATTGCTGTGAAAATGTGGGGCTTATATAACCTTATGTGCCTTCTTTCTGAAGCAGAGAAAATCAGAATGTTAATTACTATCCAGTTCTTCTGTCAATCTGCTCACAACTCCCCACATGTCACTTTTTAGTATTGGTGGTCTCAGCTGCACACACCACACACCAATTAACACTCTTAAAGAGCTAAGAGGAAGAAAGGCCCATGGAAATAAATAGCCTCTACATTTAAAGTAGAAAAAAGAAAAAAAGAAAAGGGAAACACAACTAGGAGCTTGTGCACTAAACAGTGAATTCAAGACAAAAAGACACGATCGCAAACAATCATACTAAAAACAAAACTATATTTTTCCAAAATAATTCTTAATTTAATGAGCATTAATCTGAAAGAACCCTAGTAACAGTCTACATAGGACACAACCATCTGATACAGTTATCGTTCTTATTTGTTCTATATTTCACATGTACATCTGACGATGTCTATTATGCGAAGTACAGATATTGTTACTTATTGTGGTATGTATTTCATTTTGTCAGTCCAAGATTAAAACAAACATTGCATATAATTTCCATGAGTTTATAGTACTCAAACGATGTGGACCCCTATAAACCAGCCATGTATTGTAAAAATGTATGTGTTACTCTGGGTCATTTGTGCCAACTGTGGCCGTTCGGCCTCCGTTCGGCCTGCACTGTATTAGTTACTTTGTTCAGCACTTTGCCAAGCAATTACATACTGAGGTTTAACCTTCTCAGTGCTGGTGAATGAGAACATCCAGTGCTAATTCGGTTAGCTGCAAAATGGGAATTTATTTAATGCTTTCTCACTAGTCCAGCTGACTTGTGTGCAGCATAAAGGCTGAGTATATTGTCACAGCTCTGTGAATAGGAAAAGCGATGAGGAACTTTTTATCTGGATCAAGCCATTCTCTCAGTCACATCTCACTCTACCAATTTCACACAGCAATGCACAGGCAGGCAACTCCATACACTATACCAAATGAACCTTCATATCTTTTCTGTTATCATTTATCAAACCAGCAGAGAGAGAAATCCCAGCCACTCGCAAGAACAGGAAGAAGCCTCAATATCTCCTTAACAGTCTTTGGCTGTTTCCACTTCCAACTCAGGAACATCAAGCAGCAAAAGTGGCAATAGGGACATAGTAACAATACTGCAATCCTAAACCTTAGTCTGTACTCCAAGAATGGAGTATTTAACTGCATAACTTCCAAAGCTGATCATTCCGAGTGTAGATTTAAAAGAACAATCCATGCTAAGTGTTTTTTTTTTTAAAACAAAAATCACTGTTTAGTAGATATACTACCTTAGTAGGTATATATTAAAACAGCTTCAAAAAGTGTAGTTCATATGAACTAGCAATTAACCCCGTAAGGACCAAACTTCTGGAATAAAATGGAATCAAGACATGTC